TCGCATTCCTTGTGTCAAGCCACTCTTGAACCACAGACAGCGTCAGAAGCGTCTTGCCTGGGCTAAAGAGAAACAGGACTGGACTGCTGGTGAGTGGTCCAAAGTCATGTTCTCTGATGAAAGTAAAATTTGCATTTCCTTTGGAAATCAAGGTCCCAGAGTCTGGAGGAAAAGAAGAGAGGCACTTCATCCACGTTGCTTGAAGTCCAGTGTAAAGTTTCCACAGTCAGTGATGGTTTGGGGTGCCATGTCATCTGCTGGTGTTGGTCCATTGTGTTTTCTGAGGTCCAGGGTCAACGCAGCCACATACCAGGAAGTTTTAGAGCACTTCATGCTTCCTGCAGCTGACCAACTTTTTGGAGATGCAGATTTCATTTTCCAACAGGACTTGGCACCTGCACACAGTGCCAAAGCTACCAGTACCTGGTTGAAGGACCATGGTATCCCTGTTCTTAATTGGCCAGCAAACTCTCCTGACCTTAACCCCATAGAAAATCTATGGGGTATTGTGAAGAAGAAGATGCAATACACCAGACCCAACAATTCAGAAGAGCTAAAAGCCACTATTAGAGCAACCTGGGCTATCATAACACCTGAGCAGTGCCACAGACTGATCGACTCCATGCCACGCCGCATTGCTGCAGTAATACAGGCCAAAGGAGGCCCAACTAAATACTGAGTGCTGTACATGCTCATACTTTTCATGTTCATACTTTTCAGTTGGCCAACATTTCTATAAATCCTTTGTTTTTATTGGTCTTCAGTAATATTCTAATTTTCTGATATGATGAATTTGAGATTTTCATTTGTTGTCATTTGTAATCATCAAAATTAAACAAAATAAACATCTGAAATATATGAGTTTGTATGTAATGTATGAATATAATATACAAGTTTCACTTTTTAAATGGAATTACTGAAATCAATCTACTTTTTCATGATATTCTAATTTTATGACCAGCACCTGTATATACTGGATGGAAACTCAGCAACAGAAAAAAACAAAAAATTTCCAATAATGGAAATGGGTTTATTTAAACCCATTTCCATTATTGTTATACAATTCATTTTGGACATATTCAAATCACCTTTATCCTGTGTTTTAATTTGAGTATTAACAGAGCTCAAAGGAAGCAAATCCAGCAAAGTCTGCATGGTGTGTCAATAACAGCAGTTTGTCTTTGTCGAGAGGCAAAGACAAAAAAAAACAAGGTTAAGACTCAGGTGACAAAAACACAGTTTGACTCAGCAAAACTCAGCTTGGCTAGGGTACCCAAAACTGGCAAACACTCTGGCGTCGAGGTAGTGGCAGTCAGCAGCTTAAGAGTCCTCCGGTAATGAGGCAACCATCCGTGGTGTGAGAAGGCCAACGAGAACCAGGCGCCACCTGGTGGTGAAGGGAAAACAAACCAAAACACAACTCACACAAACTGGATTCCTAACACAGTTACTTTTGTCCATGTTTGAGTAAAATTAAACTTATTTCCCATAAATTAATATCCAAATACTGGAGAAAAACAATAAATCTTATTGTCTCATCTTAAAATCCTCAAACCTAATTGACCCTGTGCAATACAGTTTAAAGTGATAAAAGTTTGTCTCCTTCTGTAAATATAGCATGTGTACATGCTGGAGCTAAAAAGCATAGCACTGTGCTGCTTGCTCCTTTTTATTGTTTTAATTTAGTGTAAGGGTTCATTTTGCAGCAGTGTTTACTATGAGATTGATAAAACAGAATCATGCTTCATGTTTATGAATTCAAAGCTCTTTTTATTGATCACCGTGTGTTTGTGCTGATTTGTTTATTTTTCACTCTTGGAGACATCTGTCTCACACTCCAGCAAAGGGAGGAAGTCGTGAAGGAAGGTGTTATTTTTATTACCATTTTAGGCATCAAACAGAGCTTTGAGTTATTTCTCATTTGACCTTTTATACAGTTGGGTAATTACAGGTTGATAAAGGCTATGTTAGCCTCTTTACAATATTTTCATTAAATCCAGGCTCTAGGGTTGTTATGCCTCTTTGACTCCTGGTTAGACTAAATGCCTTAATGTTTTATGTTCACATTTTTCTTACAAAAATCTAAAATTGCAAAGGTGTGACTCATGGTGCAGGCTGCTTAGACATAAAAGTTTTCTCAGAAGGAACTAACCTGAGTGGAATAGTTGTTAAAGCGTGAATTTTAAAATTCTGTATCCTCTAGAGCTTAATTACCCAGAACCCCCAACGGTCCACTGGGCTTTTCTTGTGTGTGTGCTGCCAGTATTGTTTATGTAAATTACATCCGCTGATGAGAAAGTTGCCTGACTTGCTCCCCTTTTACACTAGCCTACAGCTTAATTTGGAGTGAGAATCGAAAGCCTTGCTATAGGAGAATAAAAACCTGTGATCTTTCTATTAAAACTAACAAATGACGCTGTTACAGTCACAGTGCATCTATAAATTCTGCACTCTGGATGTAGTTGCTGAACTCAATGAATTTTACAGCACAGGTTTTTGCTTTCACTGCATGTGTTTTAGATGAGAGAGGGGTAGATGTGGGATTAAAGTCTGGCCTACAGCTGGTGGTTAGACTCTGAAATGAAAACAAAGTCCCTCCTAACTCAGAGGAAAATAAAACAGACAAACTGATCATGAATGAGTTAACCAAACAACTTTTTCTCCAAGGAAAAATTATAAAAACTTGATATTCTATTGATAGAATAGATATTTCAATCTGAAAAACTCACACGAAGAGAAGATATCCATGAACAGGAGTAAAAAAATGTAGGGCTGTTTCCCCCCCAGGTCTAAAACTGGTGGTGGAGTGGAGATGAATGAAGTTGGTCAGTCTGTAGACTGCTGGTTAGAAAGACGGTATGCTGATCTTTATGGGGAGATCCAGTGGATTGCGTGAACTGATACTAGAGCTTCACTAAGGGACCTGGAAGATGGAAGTCCAGTTTGGATAACACGGGTTGAGAAACCCTGTCCATGATGAGCAAGTATGAAACGACAGTGGAGAGGAAAAACTTCCCATTGGGAAGAAACCTCTGGCAGAACTAGGCTGAAAATGGTGGTCTTCTGCCGGACTGGTTTAAATAAGACGCGGAATGCAGTAAGAGTCCGAGAGTCTTTACAAATCGAATTGCTTCTAATAAAAAGATAAGCATTGGCACCCCTCTAAATATGATTGGTTGATCTCTGAAAGGTAAGGTCAAATCTGAGGTAATTATGGAATCAGAACCTTTTTTTGACTACTTAGATCAAACTGAACATGTAACTTCAAGGCTGGACTATTGTATTTCTTTACTATCAGGAAGACCACAAACTGTAGTTAAAAGCTCTCAGCTAATCCAGAATTCTGCAGCCAGAGTTCTGATGAAAATTAGAAAGAGAAATCATATCTCTGCTATCCTAGTTTCTCTTCATTTGCCTCCTGTTAAATCAAGAATAGAAATTAAAATCCTCCTTCTACATATAAAGCCTTAAATGTCCAAGCTCCATCTGATATCCGATACATTAGTGAAAGATCTCATAATACTAATCGCTATAGAAAGTCCTTCCTATACCATCACCATCAATACAAAGTTGTGTAACTTCTATAAGATGATCTACAGCTTCATGAAACTTAGGAATACATATGTATTATTTAAAATCTATTGACAGTCCTGTTTCCATGTGGGATGACAGTATCTAGAGTGGGGGTGTCAAACTCCTGCCCTCCAGGGCTGGAGATTATGATGAAAATCCCTGAATTAAATGACCGCATCCCCCCATGCATGTAGTCAAGTTGCAGAGAGTCCTGCTTTAACCTGAATTATGTGATGTAAGTGAACCGATGCAGAGCCACATCTAAATGTTGCATGACATCGGCCCATGAGGACTGGAGATGTGCACCTTTGCTCTCAAAGTACATTTTCCTCAGCTTCTCTTCAAAATGGGTAAAGAACTCTTGGCACTAATATGAAATTAGTCAGGAAATGTCAAGAAGAAATTAGATACTCACACAGAAGACTGTCTGCGCAATAATTAAAAACAGAACCATGAACAGTGGAAATAAAGACCCAAATTCCTCTGACAGCCATGCACACAGCAGAGGATGGTTAGGGGAAAATTAATGAAACAATCCACTAAGATCACAGTAAGACTTTTGCTGCAAAGAGGGAAATTGTGGGCTCACTGTGACTCCATTAAACATTTATTTTAAGGCCTTTGTACAAATCCCTATTATGGGGATATCTCCCTAAGCCCAAACCCTGCTTTGACATGCCTGAATCTTCCAAAAGAAAAAGTAAAAACTGTTGAAATGTTTGGAAAAACCTTTTTAATTTGGGTGAACTTTCACTGAGCATCTAAACTTTGTGGGCAGATTGTTTCATATCCTCTCAACTAACCAGCTGTCCTTCTCTAAACTACACCAGAGAAGCCTTGTAGAGGTTAACCCCTACATCCGTCTGAAACCCTTTTTTCTTTCAACCCAGGGAAAGGCTGAGAAAACACAGGCCTTTTTTTTCTCGGAAAATGGGTGAAGGGCTGAATGCTACTGAGTGAAAGAACAAAAAGGGGGAGGAGATGCAGGGTAGAAGTGAAAGAAGAATATGAGCGGATATAAGACTCCTTACTGGCAAATCTCAAACTCTCATTGCAACAGCTGTTTAGATTAAGCATTAGACATCACCATCTTTTTCAGTTTCTGCCCCCAACCCCCCTTTTCTGTACGCTGCGAATAGCTCCCGGAATTGAGGCTACTGGAGCAGCAGGGGAAATGTTGCAGCATGGGTAGACAGAGTGAGGGGGGTGGTAGTGGTGCAACATGATACACTACCAGTGTGAGAAACCTGTTCACAAAGAGGGGATTTGGACTAAAAGAAGTGATCGAGACAGAGCAACGTTGAGAGACACAGGCCCTCATTAGGAAAGAGAGGAAAAGAAAGAAAGAACAGAGAGAAGAGAGAAAGAGAGAGAGAGAGGGGTGGGGAGAGAGAGAGAAGGGGCGGGGAATGAGAGGGAGTGAAGTCTGGTCAGACTGAAAGTCTGAATCATTAAAAAAAGAACTCTGGTGAAGGATCTTTTTTATTTTTATGAAAAGAAAAAACTTCTTAAGGCTCATTAATTTTCTTCCCTTGTGGATCTCTATGGACCTTGGACTACAAATCCACAGCAAAGCTTCTGTGAGAGGATCCCACCTTTGTGTTTAAATTGAATTCCATTGATAAAGTGTATATATCGTCTGTGAGGGTCGTCCTTGGCCTCTGATATGGGGTTTGAGAGGAAACTGCTGATTCTGGGTGAGTCTGTCAAAGAGAACTCAGCTTGTGTGTTGATCTGTGGGCATGAAGAAACCAAAAGTAAAGGGATGTTTATAAGTGTTGTAATCCTTTAATCATTAACTTCTACATGTCTTTGCAAATCTTTTTCTGAAAATAAAAATACATATAAAGAAAAATAGAAAGCATGAATTTTTTAAAATGAAAAGTTGTTGATCTAAAAAGTTTTTTTTTTTTAATTGTGTGTTTTTTTTTTTTTTGGTGTTTTTTTTTTGAACTTGACATAAATACAACCTGAGCTGTTCAACGTGTCCAGCTGGGGGGGAAACCTCTCATGCTGTCATTTTAGCTGAGGTTTGGGGTGTGATCTGAGGGTGGCGTTTTGCTGAAATCTCCGTTATCAAAGTGCTCCCTCTTGTCAGATCTGCCTATCAGGTGGTCTGAGTTAGGGTAATTGAGGTACTAAATGAGCTGTGGCTGTGATTGAGGTTTCAAGCTGGTGGAGCTATATGAATCTCCATGACTTATCTGAATAACCCACAATAGCAGCACCTTTGACCACTGGTGAAAACCAGTTCGGGCTTTTATGCCTCTCTCTTTTTGGGTATACAGATTTATATTAAATGTCATATAGACATAACATTATCTTTGTATACTATACAACTGGACCCAATTTTACATTCAGGGCTGCATTAGTAATGTGTGTTCCATATAATCCCCAGAGATTTTGGTGAAAATTAACATGGCAGCGTCCCGTTTGGCCAGTTTTTGTTGTCTTCCTATATTTGATGTTAATCTGCTGTTCCACCACATCCTGAATTTACAGAAGTGAGAAGTTTTGACTTTGGAGGTCATTGGACCACAGTGATCTCATTGTCATCGTCAGAAATCAGATTGAGGAGATCTGGGCTTGTTCATCTATCATATGAAGTTGAACTGGGATCATAAAGGGTTGTGTTTTGATAATTAGATGGGTAGTAGTGTTTAAAAATTGGTTCTAACAGACTTAAAGTGTGTCAAGAAAATGTCTCCACTCTGTTTTACCTCCACCTTTGAGCCTTTGAGATGTCTTTAACGTTCATTTCTGAGCTTACCACTTGAATTCAGTAGCTAAAATAATTGGATTTGGTAATATTTTTTAATTTCTTAGTGTCATGCTATGGTGAACCTGTATAAATCATGACCTCAGATTCTTTTTCTTAATTTGAGGAGGAGCCCTGCCCAATTCTAGGTTACATGGTTGTCAGTTCGGAGAAGATACACTACCTTTATTATAAGAAATGGATAAATATTTAAACTATTGTTTACTCTATCTTCTTAACCCAGTCTGTTTATTATTTCCTGATGTCTTGTATTTTGGTGCACGCTGTAGTTTTTCTTCTGTAGACCAGAGAGGTGGTTGTGAGTAAAAATTGGAGTGGACAGCAGTTTCTAAAAATAGGCTAGACTGCCTGGCATCAGTAACTATGTTATATTTTAAGTAAATGAAATCCCCTGTCTTTTCCTTTCTGAAACATTTTGACTTTCAGAATGCCGTCTGTTAAACATCAAGGTGATTAAGTAATTGCTATCTGACTGCCGTGGCTGATTTGTGCACCCACAGAGCCAATCTCTCCCTTTCTATTTTAATCCTGTCTATGTAAACTAACCAGTTCATATATCATGTTGAACTATCAGGTTACCTTTAATGCAGAGATACTAAATGCAGAATTTCATGCATAACTTAATTCAATAGAATAATAATTAGGGATTTCTTTTATTAGTCTGTTTGGACTCATTGCAGTTCCAATTCACTCTGGGAATAGTTTACTTTCATGAAATTAGACAGATTAAGACCCCTGAGCTAACCAAAATAACTAAGTAACCTCCTTTCTGTCAGATATCATTAACTGAAAATATTCAGGCACATTTTCTTGCATTAGATGATCAGATTACAACAAAGTAACTTTCAAGCATTCAACTCCTCACTTATTATGGGATGTACAAAATATCTTAAAGGTGAGTAAAACTGCCGCATGATCGGGATGAATTGTTAAATACAAACCTGCAGAGGAAAATGAAAAAGGTAATGATCTGCACTTCACTGCTTCATTTACCACAGACAGTCGTACAGAGAGGACAGTGGCTGTATGTGCTGTGATGCATTCATATTTTAATTTATTTTTTAAGTCACAGTCCTATTTAGTTTTCACTACTAACTAAAAATATTTTATTAGAAAGTCCCCTGATTAACGACAGCATGAGGCTGTGAAATATGTAAAGTAGTTTTACAGCGAGCTGTTACAATGTGTCAATTTGATTTAGATAGTTTAAAAAAAAATACACACACACACCAGAAACCTTTTTATTTCGCTTGTGACAGAACTCCAACATACATTTTTATTCTGGTTTGTGTCTTTTCGCTGACAGCTTGGAAATTCTCAGAAGATAAAAAAAAATGTCAACATTGCGCATGGGGCTCCTAAAACCACACGCCAAAATGTGGTAAAAAATTTGTTTGAGGAATGACAGTAACAGGAGTATTATATATGGTTTCAATAAAGAAAAGAAAAAAAGTTTAGTTGAGTAAGGAAACCTTTGCAAATGTTTTCTTTTAATTATTTTCTGTCTTAAGGAGAAAACATCTTGTCATGCACATTTAAAAAACTACCAGGATTGCAGTTTGTTGATGTTAACTAGAAAAATCAAGACTCTTTGTGATCAGATTTAAGCTGAACCTTATAGATTGGACATTTTAGTCCTCTTGGCTGATTTATATAGATAATCAATGCTGTAAAAGATAAAGGGTAGGGCATGTGGAAAAGAAGCAGTATTGCACATCTGTGTCTGAGCAACAAGCACTTTGATCTTACCAGAGTGCTTGTTGCTCAGACTTATTTTACGCAAGCAACTTTTTTTAGAGCTTCTATGTAATTAATTAATTTGCGACCTCTTTCTATGTCTGACAAAAGCTGTTTCATATCTCATAATATTGAGTACTGAGCAGCTGTTTCAATAACAGAACATGAGTAACCCGACATCATGATAGTTGGCCTTCATTTTAATTCAGGGGTTTGCATGTTAAAGGGGTTAATTTCTCAATGCTGTGCAGATGAGATGGTAGTGTACTGATAAGATCTGTCTGCAGAAATTGAAACAGACATAACACCCATGGTTGTAGGGTCAAAGCTGGCTTTGTGTTCAGTTACCACCAGGCAACACATGATTTATCATGATGACAAAGAAGATTAACGCAGGACCAACCTATTTCTGTAGAAGTGTCAACCTTTCTTTTAGTATGGTCATCTCACAAGTTAGCAGCTTTAAGAAATCCTGCTTTGTCTTTAAATTGTTGTTAAACATTAGACATGTCTTGAATCCCAGCTTTAAATGGGACAATTGCCTGTGTTTTTGCACTATGAGTTAACGGGGGAGAGGCTAAGGCCCCGTCCACACGAAGACGAACCCTGGCCTAAACGCACAAATTTTTCACCAAACCAGCCTCTCATCCACACGAAGCCGGCGTTTCGGGGGTCTGTAAACGATCTTTTTTTTATTCAGCCTTCAGAGTGGGAAGATTTCGAAACGCCATTTTCGCGTTTCCATCTTTACGCGCTAACCGCATATATTTTTTTACACGCATGCGTCATAGCGTCGCCTCTAAACACGCATGCGCCAGACAGTATCACAACAACAATGGCGCCGTTGCTGCTAATGCTACTCACCCTGCTGTCGGGCTTACAACAGAATCTTCTTCTTCTGGAATATCTCCAGGAAGAACGGATCAATATCGACGACATAGTTCAGCACCTGAATTTGACTGAACCACGAAAATAGACCCGCAGGGCAACCATGTATAAATATTAGTGCGCATGCCCAACATTTCGTCGCTTATTTTTGCTTTGGCACCACAGCGCCACTTACAGGCCTGGCATACATTTTGCAGCGTTTTCATGCATTCGTGTGGACGCTCACATTTATTTTACGTCTCCGTCTTTACGGCAAACGTTTTGGAAAATATCAGCGTTTCGTGTTCGTTTTGACTTCGTGTGGACGGGGCCTAAGTCAGTGCTTAACTTGGATACCAAGAAACATGAGACAAAGCTGAAAGTGCAAGGCAGAGGAATGGCTTTAGCTGTGTTTATAACCAAGTTTGCAGTTCTTCCCCCTTCACCTTATCAAACAGTGAGTCATTTTATTGTGCTATCTGTAGCCTGGATGCAAATTTTCACTACTTTCTGAAATGTACTATAAAGTTTTAAAAAACACATTCAAATGTTTAAGACAATGGAATACTTCATTGCATGTGTTGCGTAATGCCATCCGTGCACAAAATGTCAATAAGAACCAGCTTAACCACTACTTCTGCTTGAGTTTCCTGTACTAGAACATTACTGACACAGGCTTTTAAAAATCTTTAGACTTAACCTGGTCAAGACATTTATAAAAGGTTAAAAATCAGATTTCTCTCCATATTTTTTTTTTGCATGTGAGTAAAAATAAAGCATAATTCCAGTTAGGACTAGTGACTAATGGTAGGAACCACATTGAATGTTTTGCAGAATAGAGCCCTTTAAATGACCTGTTAAAACGGATGCGAGACACTTGCCTTACTCATCCTCTGCCTGAGTTGAAGTATTTGAGAGATTGTCAGGGAAATACAAGCTGACAGCATATTTAAAAACATTTGCTGAAAAAAACTATAAATATGTCAAAGGTAGGCAGTAAATTATACACAAAGTTATGTGAGCCACAGGTCAACCAAGCGCTTTCCTTTGGAATATTTGTACACATGCTGAAACTACTTATATATAGATGATGTTTATAATTTGTATCTATTCAAAGTTGAGATGAAGTTACGCTACAAACTTGTACGAGCAAATACAGCACAATAGACAGTGTGATAGGTTAAACCCAGTGGATGGAGCCTGATGCAATGTTTTCATTTTGTCCAAAAACACCAGAATTAGGCCTTTTTTAAAGGTAATTTAAATATATATTTCAGGGTTAACTGACAGTGTTTATTCATGCAATATGTTATG